TTCTATAACTTTAAAATTTTATAATTGGAGAAAACATTAGATTTATATCAAGGCCTTGCCATACCAAAACTACATTTTCGACATCGTTTTGAGGTACATCTTACTTCAATAGTATAAGGTTGACACCTTATAAAACCTCACAGAGTACAAAGGTTCACATGCAAGGCCTTTGACGAAAGCGACAACTTCTATTTATTTCCAAATTTTAAGTTTACACATATTACATCGTGGAGCTTTGGTGTTTTATTTCCTATTTATTATCTCCTTTTCTAAGAGAGGCAACGTTTCTAATGAGTTTGTGTTCTAATGATAAATAGTTATTAATGGGGAAGATCATTTCAAATTATGCATGTAAAATTCATATGTGATGTGTGTGTAAGTTAAAAGATACAATCTGAAATTATGATAAAACCTAACGATAAAATGAGTTTTATATTAATGATATTGATTACAAAGAGATCATTTATTTTATGTACATAGATGTCACAATCGTTTACACTCGTTAGATGTCATATTTGATAACTTGAGTTGAATTACGAAGTCCAGGAATTTTTTTTTTCGTGAACTTTGTATCTAATCAATTTAAAAGACAAGAATAATTGTGAGTTTGTGTCTTTTTATATACAAAAGATAAACGGCCAAGACAATCATTTAAAGGATTGTAAATTTTTGTATTTATTTTATATATTTTTTTAAAAAAATTTCCAATATCAATACTAATATAGAATAGCAGTCACAAACATGAGAGGTTTCATGTTCAAATTGCATAATAAATTATTTTTAAAATTTAAGCCACAAGTGAAGGTGTGTTTATTTGTGGACACTTTGGACGATATTGTGTGAAATAGCATAGTGCGGTAACATTGTGTGTATCACAAATGGCTAGGGTCATGGTGGTAGCACCCCATACCTTAGTCATCATATTGTGGCTTTCATTCTCATTCCCACCACTAACACCACCCCATTAATACTTTCAAAAAGCTAACTCTTAATCTACTTGAAAAAATTGGTAGGGCCTCTCTTCCTCACTAAATTACCCAATATATATAAAAAAAAAAAACAGACACATGAAAGACACCTAGAGGATTATCAAAATCTATCAAAATATCAAAACACTATCGCGTGATGACATTGGGATACACAAGGTATCCATAAATTGGGCTAGGAATGGGTTAGGTTGAGGTTTGGATCGCCCTGGTCGTAGATCCAACTCTAGAAATAATAATAATAAAAAAAAGAGTTATATGATAAATACAGGGTCAAGTTCGGTAAGGTCTAACTTGGACCCGGTCCCAGATCCAACCCGAGTTGGGTCTAGGTCAAGTAGACCCAAACTCAACTCGTCAGGTCCATTATCCAGGTCCGCAACAAGCCTATCTAATAGACCCATCGGATCTCCGATCCCGGAGTACCAGCGTGTTTGTGCTAGATAGGGAGGGGGATGGATATTTCACATGGGACACGAGGGGTATTTAAGACAAGCACGAAAATGCAGAGATGCTGTAAGGAATGGCGATATCTCGTGTATTTATTTAAAAAATTGCAAAGTACAAAGTTTCTTTCAGGGAGAAGAGAATCGAACAGGGCCGAGTTTAAAGGTTCGTTTACCGGTTACTCGGACCCGGCCCTAATCGGGCAGGTCCCAGCCGGTCTAAAAAGTGTTAAAAAATAAAATACAAAAATGCAAAAAAAATCCCAAAACAATATGAAAGAGGTATTCAAAGCTTATTAAAAAACAGAACATCCCTATGAAGTTGAAAAGCAGTAAAAAAAAATGGATTTTAAAAAATCGATTTGTGGCAATGGGTACTTTTAAAAAATTTCAAAAAAATCGAAAAAATTTAAAAATAGGTAGTCATGGCCAAAACACTTTCCAATCTTAGCAAAAAATGATAAAAAAAATTTTAAAAAACACATTACAAACAAATCCTTTATTTTTTGAATTTTATATTTATTATTTATTTTTTCAAAAATATCCGATCAGACCACCAAAACTAACCAAAATTGAATCAACCAGTGCTCGGAACTTGTTTGACTAGCCGGTTCTAAGTTGGACAGGCTGACTTTGCAAGCACTGGTTTAGCCCAAGGCCTCTTCACCCTTGTTTGACCCAAATTGGGAGCCAGGGAGGGACCTGGAACCCTCTCACGAGTCAAGAGGGAGAGCCAAGAATAAGGATCAGTACCCGTGATTTGGGCCAAGACTTGAGGTATGAATTTTGAAATCTTAGCATCAAAAAAAAGGAAAAAAGAGAAGAAAAAAATAGTAATTTTTTTTTTATCTAAGCCTCAAGAGTCACTAATTTGGGTCAAGACCTAAGGTTGAAATTTTGACATCCATTTTCCTTTTCAAAATCTTCTCACTTATTTTAAATTTGGCATATTAAAGGTAGGTTTTGTGGAAATTCATTCAAGGAAACTCACCTACCGATACAAGCTTCTAGATGGCCTAGGCTTTATGAAACCAAAACAAAACCTCCCCTCAAATCTTCGTCTCAAAAGCATTTTAAGCGTCGAAAATCTTCATAATGGATCTAAAATCAATTTCAATACCGAGAATAAAATTTAAAACTCAAAAAATCATACAAGTCCTGTAAATATGTGAACATTTAATTTTAAGACGAAATGGACAATTTCTTGCAATATAAACTATTGTAAAGTTTAAAATCCTTTTTTTCTTTTAGGATTATAATATTAAAGCCGAGATGATCGATTTAGAAGTTTTTCAACATTTGAATTACAATTTATTAGGCGAGGTATTCCTTATTTTGATATGGCTACAGCCTTATCAAACCATTTTCCCAATAACAAAAAAAAACTCAAAAAAATCGGTTGTGGGGCTACAGTTAACAATTTGGAACCAAAGATTGAAAAGAATGTGGTGACTTTCCCAAGAAAGTACTGAGGACCTCACTGAATTGTAGTTTTCTAAAGGGTTAGATAGAGAGAGAGAGAAAGTTTTCTAGAGAGAGAGAGGAACATGTTAACACGGTCTTCGATGAGAGAGAAGAAAAATGACAGAGAGAGAGGAGGGGGGGCCGTCATTTCCAAAGTTCTTCGACTGCATGGAAATTCCAGGCTCTTTACCCGAGTTTGGAAGATGATGGCTTCGATTTTAATTTTCTTGGAATGGGCTAAAAAATAAGTCTCACACTTGTAGTTTTTTATACCCAAAGCGTCAAATCTTTCAAGATTTGGAGGGAGGGTCTCTCTCTCCTCTCTATCAAAGGACCCGAGGGGGGTAGACCCGGTCAGGTCCGCGTATTTCTTTAAAAACTAGACCCGGTAGGTTTCGGTTGGGGTTTAAATTTTTAACCCAAATACTATTTGAAATCAGATCTGATAATATTTTTTGAATCACAATATATAAATTATAGTTAAATATAGACAAATACATTAAATTTTGAATCATGTCTAATTGGGTCTGAGTCCATGTCCGGGCCTGTTGCTATCCCTTTAAAATTAGGTAGGACTCCCTCCCTCTCTTTTGAAAATGGAAACTCTCTTTTATGGGAAAGTTAGCAAGGGTATTATCTCCCTTAGCACCACTTTTCAATTCAAGTTTGATTCTTATTACTGAATTATTGAGATTAAATCATTTTTATTGAAGTTGGGAGACTCTATCATGTAAAACCCTAGAAGAGGGAGCCTTCTCTCTTTCATAAACGTCAAGAGGGATTCTCTCGCTAAAACTTTAAGAAAGAGACCGCTATTTATTTTAAAATTGGGAGGGAGATACAAAACCACAGAGATCCGATACAATATTTGTTAGGAGGTGTGAGTTAGTTCAAGTCGAAAGCTAAAATAAGATAAAAAGTAAACCAAAAAATAATCATTTGAAAGTTGTGAGAAACGATATAAAGACTTATGACCATAGAAAGAGTATAACTCCTAATAGAACATAATGACGGATCAAAATTGGTATAGCCGACCCTAATTGGTTGATGATGATAACACAACAACACACTCTTATCTCTTCAAATCAATAAATTTTATGAGAATTACGCTCTTTATCTCGTTTGAAATCATTAGAATTTGAGATTCATCCTCTCGTAATCTTTCTATTGAAATTTTGAAATTAGATTTTTTTTTTTAAATAATTCAGTGAGAAATACAACCCTTATCTATTTTTTCAAGTAAATTTCAAGTCGGCTTAAAGTATTACCAGATGATACAACCCTTACCTATTTTTTCAAGTAAATTTCAAGTAGGCTAAAAGTATTATCAGATGATATTAATCGTGGGAATGACAACCACAACGTGACGTCTAAAGTGTGCGGATGTTACGACCTAAGCCCCTTTTCCAATTTGAAATTAGATTAATTAATGAAAATTGACTCTCTCCCTTGAATTCAACAGAATTTGTGAGACCTTATATTCTCACAATTCACATTACTCATTAGGAATGGGTCAAAAAGGGCAGGAATTAACAAGGGCTACACACTCTTTTAACGTTAGAATCCAGGAAAATCCCGTACAATTAATGCGGACGACTCACTTCCCAAGTAAAAAGTTTATTAATTATTCCAATTATTAGTAGTACTTAAAAGTCAACATAATTCATGCGAGAACTGCTTTTTCTTTTCGTCACTGTAACTCGTATTCATCAGAAGTTTAGAACAATCAACATAATTCATGAGACAACTGCTTTTTCTTTTCATCTCTTTCTCTCATATTCATTTGAAGTTTAGAATAATCAACATAATTTAGACATTCATTAGAAGTTCACAACAATCAACTTGATTTATGAGAACTTCTTCGTTTCATATCTCTCTCAATCAACATAATTTATGATAACTTTTTCATTCATATCTCTCTCTCATATTGATCAGAAGTTTAGAGCAATCGATATAATTTTATATATTCATTTGAAGTTCAGAACAATGAACATAATTTATGAGAGCTTCGTCTTTTCCTCTCTCTCTCTCTTTCTAGCAGAAGAAGTGTGCACTTCTCATGTAGTAGGCCTTGGAATAAATCAAGAGAAACAAAGAGAAGCCATCGCAAACAATAAAGATCCATTAACAAAGCTCAAGTAGTTTGTCATTATCACTCGAGGAAGATACATTTACATAGAGGACCCTGTCCATTACACACTTAGACACTCTCATTCATTTGACACCATATATGTAATCATATAAACTACATTTTACTTTTCCCAAGCACAAATTTCAGCAACCAAGCTGAAACAGGTGGAATAGAAAAAAAAACCCACCAACCATAAAAGCTTAAGGGGGCGGGTGACACCACAAATGTCCACCTCTGCCAAATTTAGCACCACCTATAGACTCTTCCCCTAAATTTAGTGCCAAAAACCAAAATCCCAATTCAAAAAAGAAAAAAATCAGGGCTATTTTAAAAATGAGCCCATGACCAAAAAAAAAAAAAAGACCCATGGTGATCAGATTTGAGCTAATAGTAGTAGTAGAGTTTACCTAAAGTTGGAGGGAACCCCTAAATTTAAAAGTGGTTTAAGCATTGTGGGGTTGGGAGTTAGAACTGGTTGCCACTAAAAGTTTGGCCAAAATTCCAGTCGGAAGGGGCAACATTGTCTGATTCAAGAGTGCGGCCATCACTGGTGGTGATTCTGAACGAGAGGGCTTGGCCATTGAGGTAGGAGTTGCTCTGCCAGTTTTGACCCCAGTTCTGGGACATGGATTGCCAGCCGGAGCTCGAGCCTTTGATCCAGACAGCGGTGATGTCGCCGGCACCACCGACGTTGGTGATGAGGACGAGGTTGAAGTAGGAGTGGCCATTAATGGTGAATCTGATCCCACCCTTCTTCTGGCAAGGGACCCTGTGAGAGGAAGGGAAATGGTGAGATGGGGTCAGCTGCAAATTCAATTCTTTGCATTGGGTTTTGATAAAAAAGGGCCCTCTTCCTCTCTCTCTGGTTGTGATGAAGATGTGTCAAGTGTCCAAGGGCAAAACGCCTCTTGTCTTTCTCTAACGACAGTGTGTAAAAAGTGGAACAGGGTGTTCAGCACTTGGCAGTTCTAAGTTTTACAAATGGGTAAAGTAAAACAGAGTAAATAGGTCAAGTAAAACAGGGGAAGATTTCTCTCTCTCTCTCT